CATCCATATGTAGAAAATAAAAATCTATCCATAGATGCATATAAATGAATAAGAAGAGGTATACACTCTTCTTTTTAATCTTGGTTTGTTTTTAATAGACATAAGTTATGGGGAAATATTAATATCTGATACAGCAGACAATATTCAGAAAATTGTGTGCTGTTGAGATGATGCTATTCCAGCTCATCAGAGTTGCTATTCCATGCAACAGAGTAGAACTGCACCATAGGATTTCCTGGACTATAATCTTTATGGAATCAGCCTTCCATAAAGACTTTTGAAACTAGCAACCTTCCAGTTAGCAGCCAAATGCAAACCTGTTGCACTACTAGGAAGGGCTCTTGTCTGAAAACTCATCATCAGGAAGGCCCAATCACTAACGGAAGATATGTATGGTAAAATGTAGCATGTTGAACTGGGAGACCCCTGGTAAAATAAAATGGCATAATAACCACAATAACGGGCTCGAACATGTAGAGATTATAAAGATGATACAGATTAAGCAATGTTTGTTCTGTGGTCTATATGGCCACTAGGAGTCAGAGTAAATTTAACAGCAACTAGTAAGAACAAGAACAGAGAGTATCTATCGTTTCTTAATTTACATTAGGGTGTAAGGATAGCCTTAAGGGGAAGGATAGATAGGAGTTGTACGAGCTCCCAATAAAATTATTTTTTTAAAAAACATATGAACTGTGAAATATTTATGCAACCACTCAATTCCTACAGGTGAGAAATATTGGTAAGGTACACATAAGGGAAAGTCTCCAATACAATGAAAGTGATTAAGAAAAATTAAACAGAAAGTCATTAGGAAAAATTAAATGTCTAATTACATCATGATGGGCATATTTTAACTCATTATTATAGATAACTTTGCAATCTGAATAATAACCCAAGTGTGAGACAGTGACAAATTTAAAAGTCTTTTTGTGTGTATGGATTGGGATAACAGTTGTATGAGCCCCTAATAAAATGTTTTAAAAAAAAGCTAAAGTAGAAGATATAAATAAGATGGCAATTAGTATAATCTTTTGGTATAGGAATATGAGTTAGGCAATAATCTAAATAGCGGTTCTCAACCTGTGGGTCGTGACTCCTTTGGGGGTTGAATGGTCTTTTCATGGGGGTTGCCTGATTCATTACAGTAGCAAAATTACAGTTATGAAGTAGCAACGAAAATAATTTTATGGTTGCTGGGTCACCACAACATGAGGAACTGTATTAAAGGCTCGCAGCATTAGGTAGATTGAGAACCACTGATCTAAAATAATTATAAAACTGATAATCTAACAAGATTACATAATAGCCAACAAGTTAGTGACTCAGATTGTATTCATAAAAACTAACAAAAGCTATTGGAAATGAAAGAGCAATTACTCTATTTGAGAGAAACAATTGCTATTTAATTTGAAAATGATTAATTAATGCATGTAAGGAACTAACTAGTTTATTTAAGGGAAATATAAAATTACTCTTCAGTTTTTGCAATAAGCCTATAATGCTTACCAGTTTTTTAATACAATATTCCCATATCTAAAATGAAGGAAAAGAAATAAAATTCACTATAACTAATCTTGTCAGAACTAAGTAATGAAGAAATTAACTAGAAATCATACTTCAAAGTTTTATAAATAGCATGGTAAATAGAAAAATATTTAAGCTGTTTTAAGAAAGATCCCATGAGTGATAACTTACCAAACTAACCAATGGCTCAATTTAAGAAATACCAATAAGGCCAACAAATTAATTGGATAAGTCAAACAGCATAATGTCTTTCTTCTCAAAGTTATCCATGAAAGAAATTATGAAGATTCTATATAGACAGCTTTATAAATGCTATATTTTAGCAAAAAAAAATCTAGTACTACAACTAGTTATAGGGTTAGTATCCCAGATTTTCAAGATAGTCAGTTGATCCTTATTAAAAAGATTTTATCCACCTTCCCCAATTTATAAAATTTATGTTTAACTTACTCAAGATATTGGGTGACTAAAAGGAATTAATAATTGAGTACTTCAGGGGCTGTGGCTTATATTATTAATTTGATGGGAGCAAAACCTGAATCTTGATGAAAAGGTCTGATTTGTTTCAAACATGATTTATAGAACACGACTCTGAACACCCAAAGCTTCCATGTCTACGTGAGAAATGAGGAGTTGTTTTATTCAAAACAGTAGGGGACTTGCTGCTCATTTTAATTTTAATACGATCCAGACGTAGAGCATGGAACTTTAGATGATATGATACACACTCCAAACCTACATACAAGATTATGTAATGCTATAAACAAAAAGACTATGACACAGAGGATAAATAAAAAGTTACCAAGGAATTATGAAGAGCCAGACAATTACGTTGTCTGATATAATTATATCATCTGATCATTATAGTTATATTAGACAGGCATTATCTGCAGTAATACACTTATGGAAACAAAGTGTCAAAGAGAAAGACATTACTCAATGTTACACAGGTAGTGAATAACAAGTCCTGACTTTAACATCCAGCTCACTGTACTGTTCCAAAGCTAAATACTGTTGGTTCAGAGATACCAATTTGACAACAGGACCATCTCACAGCAACACCAACATCTAAAACAAGACCAGATAATAAAGGATGTTTCTGGGAACAAATGGAATAAATCAGATAAGACATATAAAACCTGGTTCCATGTAAGACATGAAGATAAATTTTCACTGCCTTCTTTAAGACTGCAATTACTTTTTCTGGTGCAACTATACTTTGTAAAAATCAGTCATATGCAGAGGTAAACCAGAAACAAATCTTCCACCTTGAATTCCTTATTGACTCCTCAATACACAGTTCTATAGGATAACAGGGATATTGCCTTCTAGAAAAAATATTACATTTGATGATTTAAATAAAAAGGCATAATAGTCTCATCAGAATTTAGTGTGGATATATATTTTCAATTAAAAATGAAGTAGTATGTTATATGCATAAAAGGTAACTTGCAATTATTTCTATACATTTAAATTTTCAATCATAAATTAAAAATACAAACAATATTTTTGTGTTAAAGCACAGAAAGGTCACAGAAAGGTAAAGTTGCATACTATAATAGTAAAATATACCATAGTTATTCAAAACTTTGATAAAAGTATATAAATTTAATCCCAATCCATAAATGACTCAAAATCAGCACCTTGAATCATACTAAGCAACTTGATGTAACAGATGTTCAAGAAGGTTCTACTGATTTAGTCAATAAATACATGGTTGTTTTTACCTACTTCTCTCCAACATCAATCAAACAAGACACAGATCTTAAAGTTCCTAGCAATTCTTTTAAAACAAGAAGTCTACCTCACAATCCCGCTAGACCAGTGTACATATAGTGGCACAGATGAGACCTTTCAATATATAGAATTCAGGAAAGACAAACCCCCAGAATCAGTAAAGGAAGTAACAATTCCAGGGGTTAGGGTAAAGGAAAAGGGTAGGGTAAAGGAAGTGGGAACGGATAGCAATGACAGCAGAATAAGTCCCCTCAAGGGGGGTGAATACCAGGATAGTAGGTGAAGGGATAAAATGTGAGGTGTAAGACATGTAAAATAGTAATAATACGTAATACATGAAGGGCTTGCAGGGGTGGAGGGTGGAAGAGGGAGGGGAAAAAAAGAGGAGCTGATATCAAAGGGCTCAAGAAGAAAGATGTTTAGAAACTACTGATGCAAACATGTCCACTTGATATAATGGATATATGGATTATTATATGTAAGATCCCCCAATAAAACGATTTATTAATAGAAAAAAATTTCATACTATAACAAAGGTCTAGAATATTGATAATTTCTAGTTCTGTCTTTCACACACACACACACACACACACAAATCACAGTGAAGCAGGTGGAAGTTATGTCTGTGCTAAAAAATTCCTTGTAGAAATATCTGGATATTAATTATCTAGTAAATGGTTACCCTAATAAGCACAGGTAAAAGTATACCTTCTATTAGTGAAATTTAAAAGCAAGAACAGTATAAAATAAGAGAAAGAAGCAGAGTGGAGAGAAAGGAAGAACAAAGAGGCAAGAGAAAGCAGGAAGGAAAGGAAATGGAAGAGAAAAAAGAACAGAGGAGGAAGACAAGGAGGAGATAAAAAAGTCAGAGAAATTAACAGAAGAGCAATAGAAAATATGTTGAAAGGGTGACTAAAAATCAAAAGCAGGGAACACATTATACAAGTTCTAAAATGAAGATTAAGGGAGCACAGCCTAAGAATTTGTAGCTCTCTCAACATTAGGACACTAAGACTAAAGGAAGTAGTCCTGATCATTAGATAAGGAAATAGAAAAAGGATCCGAGTTCACATGAGTGTGGAATGATCACATCATATATGCCAAAAAAATCCAAATCCACTGCCATCAAGTCAATTCTTATGTGTAGCAATCTTATTTCGGGTCTCTGAGGCTTTGTAGATATTTATGGGACCAGATAGCCTCATTTTTCTTCCTCAAGGCTCCTGGTGGGTTTGAACCACTGACCTTGCTGCTTCAATGCTTATCTTATTGAACATTGAAGAATTTTGCTAATTTTCAATAAATCTATATAGCTTCTAACAATTGAATTTGTTGAAAATGAGCAAAACTCTTCTAGATTTAGTTGTGAACAAATAAAGGCCATTCTATTGTTCCATGTGATGGAATTTTGTTTTCTATCTAGTAGGAAAACTAAAGCAAATGCAATAGCAAAACCAGAATGAATAAAAGATGGCTCATTAAACACAAGCTCAAATATTTAACTGAAGGACTGATCAAATAATAGATTTGGGTAGCTAGTACATTACTGCATTACAATTTCTCAGCCTTTTAATTCTCCTGGGTGCCTTGGCTCTAAAACATTAACATGTTCAGTGTTAATATAACCTAACTAAGCCTAAACTAATAATGGATTTAGAAAGAGAAACCAAAGTGAAAAGCTATATGTGTTGGTACTAAGTTTGTAATTATTTGGGAAAAAAAAGTATTACACTTACTCATACCACTGTTTATTGTGTTTTCGGTAAAGCAACGTATCCAAGGCAACAGCATTGACATCCAGAGCTCCTGGGGAAGGCCACTGGTTGGTGAGGTGGGCAGTTAACTCTTGTCTTGATCTTAAATCATTATTCTTTAGCACAGTCCTGTGAATATTAAGATGGTGAGTGCTTTTGTCTTTACTGTTCTGCAATGGCAGAGGAATCTAATGGTATCAATTTCGGCCCCCCCAAATTATCTTTTTTAAATGGTAGGTTAGTAGATTGTGCACAGAACTATAGCAAGGCTGGTTGGGATGAATGTTTTATCTCCTACAACATGTATTCTTAATTCTTCCCCTGTTGGCTACAACAAATCACTACTTGAGAATTTAGGCTTTTTTTTGTTTTTTTAAACACAGATCTATTCCTAAAGGATATCACTGTTTGGGGGTTAAAAATGGTATGTTTTACATCTTAATTTAAAGACAATGATATCTTAAAGGTACAGTTTATCAGAAGATAGTTAAAATATGAATATTAAAATTCTAACTGTATGATTTTCTAGCATGAAAATTCAGAAATATTTAAAAGTAACTTGTCAAACAAAAATAATCAAAGTAAATGTTAAAAGATTAATGTACTAAATTTTTAAGTAAAAATTCATGAGATTCCTCTATTTTTAATAGACGTGATTATTAATTCTTGAAATTGGTTCCATCAATTAAAAAATTGAATATAATAAAATATTTCAATGAAAGACTGAGGCCATTATAATAATTTACAATATTCTTTGCTTATTTGTAAAATATTTATTCGTTAATAACTTACAATAGAATTAGCTTTTTGCCAAAACTTCAATTATACAAAAAAATTTTTTTCAATTATACCAACCAATTGATCATTGTCAAAAGGCTAATCCAACACTTGAACTGGTTAATACAGATAACTCAAATGCACAATTATCTTTGCAAAAATCTTATTTCTATTTGTACAGTGTCCTAAAATACCATCTAGGCAACCTGTATCTAATGGGAATCAATGGCTTTTGTGTACCAAGATTCTGAGCTATCAATTCAGAAGCTTGTCATTAACTCTTATAGACAACAGTCCTGTGCTGTATGGCAAAGAGTCTGAGGTGCTGCCAGTACAACCCTGTGCTAGAGAGAAAACACGGTGCCTCTTAGCCATTATTCTAATGCAATAACTACACTTGTAAGTCTCAGCAGGACACACAAAATATTTCTAAAATTATAGAATGTTTTTTTAAAAAACCTTTGTTCCACTACATTCACAATGAAATAACAGCTGCTGTGACCAAGAGATTGTGCAGAAAGGTCCGTGGTTCGGACACACTAGCTACTCTGTGTGGGAACAGGTATCGTACTCATTCTGTATAGATGATAGCCTTGGGAACCCTATGGGGCAGTTGTACTCTGTCAAAAAAGCTATGATACAGAATTGACTTGACCGTATAGGATTTCTTCTTTAAAGAAATAGTAAAGATTTATAAAGAGAGTAATTAGAGAAATTTTAAGATCAACAAAAAAAAAACACACAAAGAAAGCAGAAATGGGTATATTTGCCAGAGATTCAATTATAATTATTTTGAATCTCTTACTGCATTTTCTCTTTCATATATCTTCTCCCTAGTGGAGTTTCCTGAATTTGCGGAGTTCTGATGACGTTACGGAGTGAGCACTGGGACGGCAGTTCATCTCAGCAGCAGCACGTGCTCCTGTAATGATGTACAGTCTCAGAGACTGTACACAGTCACTTTGAGTCAGAACTAACTCAATGGCAGTGGGTTTGGTTAGCTTGATTTAGTGTCTGTAAGGAATCCTGGTAGCACAGTAATAAAAGCCCTCAAATGCTAACGAAAAGGTTGGCAGTTCTAACCTACCAGCTGCTCCACAGGAAAGATGTGTCCATCTGCTTCTGGAAGGACTTACAGCCTTGGAAACCTTACAGGGAAGTTCTCCTGTCCTTCAGGGTCACTGTGAGTCAGAAGCAACTCAACAGCAGCAGATCTGTGTTCCTGTGGTTTCCTCTGCCAACTCTTTCCATACTTGTTCATAAAAAACTATACCACAGTTATTTGCTAAGAATTAGTATACAAAACCATGGTTTCCTTAAATCGTTTCAAGTATATTCTCCTTTACACTAACATTTTTTGCCCCCACTAAATCCAATATAAGCTTCTATTATAGCAATTGTAAAATAGGGTTGCCCTTATTCTTGTTTGTTTTCTCTCTAAACATCTTGAGAGCAAGGAGTAAAACAAATATATTTCAGCATTCTTAGCTTCAAATCCAAAGAACATAAGAGTGATTCAATAAATGTCAGTAAAATGAAATATTGCAAATTTTATCATTTAAAAAATAAGCTGTGGCTCACAATCCTGAATCTAAAGGACAAAAAATAATCTTAAAAGAATAGGTACCTTAAAAATAACCTACAAGGGAAGATGGCAAATATAAATTATACTCTACTTCAAAACTATTGGCAATTAAAAACCACTGCATCTTTTTTTGTATAAAATAACAAAAACACTTAGGTAGCTTTCAATGTTTAGGGATGCAATTGAGTTGCCTCTTAGAGCATAATAACTATCAGGGGGTGGGGGTGGGAGTTTGCTAAAGATTAAAAAAAAAGTACAGTTCTTTATCCAGACTGTAAATTAGAACATCCTACTCAAGAAACTCATTGCCACGGAATGTAATCGGACTTACAGGACCCTGATAATGTAGTGATTATGCACTGGGTGGGCACCGTCAAGGTCAGCAGTTTGAATTTGGTTTGATAGGAGAGGGAAGAACTGCCTCTGTGGCTCTCCTAGACTGTAACTCTTTGAGAGTAGAAAGCCTCTTCTTTCTCCCATGGAGCAGCGTGTGGTTTCAAACTGTGAATCTTGCAGTTAGCAGCCTAAAGTGTAACCACTATGCCACCAGGACTCCTCAGGATTAAATGAAAATGAGGCTTAATGAAAATGAGGGAAATTCTCAATGAGAAAGGCTGACATAATATTACAACAATGGACTCAAATCATACCACTGCTCATAAAGACTGTGCATGACTAAAATCTGCAAAATGTGGAATCTTTGATAATGCATGCAGGTCAAATCAAAGGCAACTAAAAACAGCATGATGATGGGACACCAGTACATTGTTCTATACTCTTCAATGTGAATCTAGTAACAAAAACCAAAACCAAAACATGTTCCCTTGTGAAATAATAATTGGTACTACATCTGTTTCTGCTTTCATTGGTCCCTCCTCCACTTAATTCTTAAGCATTGATCTACCCAAAGATTCCCTTTATTTGCAAAATCTTCAAACAAGTCTTGTAAATACTGAGTACACAGGCTTCAGAACTGAGATCCTATATCTTTTGAGTTCTAAATATTCAATATTTTAAAAGGAAAACGGTATGATTTTTAAAATAATTTGTTAACTTTTATTACTTGCAGAGATTAAGATCAAACCTCCTGCTATTTCTATACTACTTTTATAAAGACCTAGATATCTATATTCTTTTATAGTAAGGCTATAATATATAGCACATAACCCTTTGTAGTCAAGAATTTATCATCTTGTCTTCAACTATATTCGGTACAACTGAATTCCATGCTATGAAGTACATTTTCAGAGTCTAGCCAAATGCCTAGCGTCAGCAATGCGGTAAACTTTTTCTATCATTTACTGTCTGGTATGCTATAATTCTTAACCTGTATGTACTCCAGTGAGATTGTAAGCATAGCACTTTGAGAAAAATCTTCATGAAAATAAAGTGTCTATTAATAGCATGTCCTATAATAATGCAGTCTTTTACACTAATGGGAAGAATGATTAGGTTGAAGACACTAAATATCAAAAATGGGAAAGTCACCAAACAAGACGTTGTTAGATAAATGCCACAGTTTTAATTTTCTTAGGAACAGCAGGATAACACTAATACTCTTCTCTAGCTAGCATCTCTTGATGACTCGGGAACAACAGGATCATCACTCAGATGCTGTTTGTTTACTATTGGTCTCTACCCAGTGCCCAGTGAAACGTTTTAGGGATAAGAACTATGTTTTGTTTATTTCTGAGTTTCTAGCAAGTAGAACAGGGCTCTACAGTTGCCCAATAGTATTTGCCAAATGAGGTAATGTTACAAAAAAGTTACTAAAACAAGTTAGCACCAAGAGAAGTACTGATAATGTTTATTCATTTACTGTCTTCTAGAATCATAAAAGGCTTATAACTCCCTACTTTCATGTTAATATAAAAATTCTTTATTCATGTGTATTTGTTAATTTTAGATATAATCATGGGTTAAAGACTTATTTTATAATTTTATATTACCTTTAAACAAAAAACTTCAAACATAACTTATTAAGGTGTCGATTACCTGAGGTTTTTAAAGTTATTTACATATTTATCTATGAAATACTCATCAAAAACTGAACCCAAATCTAACCAACTCCATTACTGGCTCTTGGCAGTGATGATTTCACACCCTGGCTTCTGAGAGGGCTTATTTTATACACAGTAGGATAGTATTGCAGGGAATCTTGTTCACAATTACTAACAAGTGAAGCCTATCAGTCAGTATCTTCCTCCACCTTCTTAACAGACCCATGCAGGCAAAAGTTATTTGGTGGGTTCTACATTGAGTATCAATGGTGCAATCAAATGAACATATAACCCTTTACCATTTTATTAATACTAAAATGTAGTAATATATTCTCCACCCCTGGACTCTACCGTAATTATTCATATATGACCGGGGTCTCTGGCAGGATAGTCCCATTAGAAATTGGCCTCCCAAAGGGCATACATAGAGACCTAAATACAGGAATGTACATATGTAGATATATTTATATAGGATGATGGGGAAATAGATCTATGTGCATATATTTACAGGATTAGTATTAAGGTAGCAGATGGACATTGGGCCTCCACTCACATACTCCCTCAATGCAAGAACACTTTGCTTAACCAAACAGACATTCCATGATACCCACCTTCCTGGCAGGATCGCTGAAGACAAATGTGTGCTTAAGCCAACGTGGTGAAGAAAGCTGATGGTGGCTGGCTATCAAAATTTATAGGACCTGGGGTCTTAAAGGCTTGAAGGTAAACAAGCAGCCATCTAGCTGAGAAGCAACAAAGCCCACATG